AGTCTCTTGGACCAATATCCCAAACCCAATAGGAAGCCGGCCATTTTGAATTACCTATACCATACCTCTAAAAGTTTTTAAAATCTATCTCATGTCAAGTAACAAGGAAGACCATGAGATGTGGTAGAAAGCCCTCCAAAAAGCTGGTAAGAAGACCTTATTTTGTCATACCAGCCAACATAATGCAGCACTGATCGAGATAAAGCGACACCTCTTTCATACCTCTAAAGGTTTTTAAAACTCAAGTGCTCATGTCGAGTAACGACATGTGAGACCGTGAGATGTGGTAGCTCTGAAAAAGCTAGTGAGTGGACTTTGAGTCAAGAAATTTACGTTACTTTTGAGGGCAGTAAATACTTAAGTATATACGTGCGTTTTCATTATAAGAACTGTGGAATATTCATACATCAATTTCTTCCTCAAAGGGTTTTTTCTTATCAAGAAAACGTGCATAAATATGAAGACATGGCATGAGGAGGTGAAAAGAGGAGTGAAGTGAGGAGCTTGATGCACCAGAGTGAAAACAGTCCAAGGACAACCGGTACACAGAAGGAAACAATTCATGTCTTGATGTAATAAATAACAGGAAGAGAAGATTGTGTTTTAGGACGTAGGCTTTTGTCTAACCAGAAACTGAAAGTTCTCCAGCTGCCAAAAGCCAAGCTGCACCAAAGATCCAAATCAGACCGAGGAGTTCACTGTTTTTAAGGATGTTTTAATGTCATTCATTAGTCGCTTCAGTTGAGTGTAACATTACTTCTGATTTCTGCTGACTTTTTGTATAAGACGAACACAACTGTGATTCTCCTGTCCTACTACTACTAGTAATTTGCATGATTTATTTAGTAGTCTAACACAATGAGTCCTGCGGGACTGTAAACAGTGACAGGAGTGTTGTTTTGCTTCAAGGTGTTTCAAGGTAATTTGAATAAACAAAATGTGACTTCTTGTGCACCGACATGGTGACGTGTAATAAAAACTAGTCACAAAACATTAGTATTTACCAAGGTAGCTGAATAAGAGTGTGCTCATGTATTGTTATCTTAGGTTGAGATTAATTGAGAAGAGACTCAACAGAAAAGGTATTTTTGCCTTTAAATTAGGGATGTTCCTGGCAACTGCCGTCAATTGAAGGAAATTTTTAATTTAGACAAGTCAACTAGTCTAAAAGTATTTTAATGCTCAGAAAGTAGTCAAAACTGAGCACAATTTTGACTTCAGACCAAGTTGAGACGGTTGTGTAAAAACACAAACTGCACACACACACAGCCAAACAGTCAAACTAGGCAGTGCTGATCAAATATATCTAACAAAGATTCTGTTACTATTTATCACCTAAAACCATTTCAGAAACATATGTTAGTGTACTGTTTATCTGGAATACAAGATTGTGTGCTAATGAGAGCAGCTCAACACGCTGTACATCACCTTCGCTGATCATAACGCCAAACTCGAGGCTTCAGTGTGGTTCTCCAGAAAAACCAATGGGTGACGTCACGATAGGTTCACACTTGATTGGGATGCTACTGAAATTGGTTCGTGTTATCAGACGAAGAGAGAGAGAGATTGATCTCATGGCTGATTGATCGTTGTGGGATAACCTGATGCACGATGCCATTTGAGTTTTTATTTTATGTTTTTTTAGACCGCTGGTTGGATTCAGAGGATAATATTACAGCTTTCAGGATAAACATCTACGGTGGCCCAGAGGTGTCAGGCCAAATACAAA